CCAGGGGGGAGCCCCAACCCCCTTTGACCGCAACTATGGGACCAAGCTGGGAGTGAAGGCGGTGCTGTGGATGTCAGAGAAGCTGCAGCAAGTCTACAGCAAGGGTGAGCCAAGAGCTGAGGATCTCGTGGTGGGCATGGGGGAGGCTGGTGGATGCTGCTCCGGGCTCAGCCCCCGGCAAGGTGGCCAAGGTCGGCCATGTCCCCTCCCAGGGTGCGTGTTTGCCAACTCGGGGGACTCTGCCTGCGTGATCGGGCTCCGGAAGAAGGTGGTGGCCTTCAGCCCTGTGACAGAGCTCAAGAAAGTCACGGATTTTGAGTAAGTGGCAGCACCCCAGTGGTTGGTCAGCTCCCAGGGGGACATTCCTGGGCTGTCCCCTCTAGAGACATGATCCCCTGTGCAGGCACAGGCTGCCCCAGGAGCAGTGGTGGCTGAACCTGCGGCTGATGCTGAAGATGCTCGCCAACTACCAGATCAGCCTCACCGAGTACATCTCGGGGCAGATGGAGCACGTCACCCGCCGCACTCTCAGCATCGAGAAGGGCTTCTAGTGCCACCAGCCCAAACCACAGCCCCCACCGTGTCCTCTGCACCCCCACGTGCTGCTCGGGGAGCGCTGCATCCCCCCTGTTCTCAGTAGCCCTGTAGCTTTGCCACTGACCCCTTAAAACAGGCAGAGCCTGATGCCAGCTCCCAGGACGGCACAATTCTGCCCCAAATCACTGGTGCAGTGTCTGGTCCCTGTGCAGGTGCAGAAGGGAGGTGTTGCTTGAGCCCAGCTGCACAACCCAGACCCTTTATCTTCCCTTAATAGTTTATTATTATTTAATGATGGAGTATTTTAAGTCCTTATTTAGCAGCCTGACTGCCTGAGCCAACTGCTGCTGCTGCTTTGTAGTTGCCTGCCCTGCGTGCGGGAGGGGGGTGAGGAGGAGGCGGTGCCATCCCAGAGCGGGTTGGAGCTGCCCCTGGGGACTTGGTGCTGCCCCTGATCCCTGGAAAAGCTCCATCCCTATGGGGTGTCTGGAGGGCTGAGCATGGTGTCCTGGCGAGCCCCTCTCCCCCTTGCATGATGCTTGGCTGCGACCGTCACCGCGCGGCCCTGGGTGCCATGTCTGTCATCTCACCACTGCTCCGTGAGCCCAAATCCTGCACTGCTTGTGGTGCTGCTCCTCCTCCTCTAGAGATAAAACCTGCTGGAGCCAAAACCTGCCTCAAGTGGTCATTGAGCACCAAGGGGCAGGGAGGGGTGACAGGGCTGGGGGTGGGATGGGGGGACAGTCCCAGGCCAGGAAGTTTCCTGGCTTTGCGCATCCTCAGAGCCTGGGAGAGTGGGACTGCAGGCAGCTTCTCGCTGTCAGGGCCATGGTGGGGGCATGGTGAGCATCCTCTGCGGGCAGGCATCACAGTTCTAGAGGAAAATCGCTCCATTCCCACCATTCAAAGGACATGCCCGAGTGATTTATGGAAGCGCTGAGTGTGTTTGTTAAGGCGCTTTCTCAGGGCTTCTGCCAAACGTGCCGATCTGGCCATGCTCTACATGCTCGGCCCATTCCAGACAGCTCCATGGAGCCCCTTTCCCAGGACACTTTCCTCCTGGGGCTTCCAGCTCACGGCTCTGGCCTCCAGGACAGCGCCAACACCAGGATGCATCATGGGCTTTTGAGTCAAACATGCCGTTGTTTTGTCCTCCCCATGGAGATGCCCCCAAGTGAAAGTTCCCCTTGATTTGCCCCCTGGCCTTCTGTGATGGAGTGACTCCATCAGTGGACAAGGGAGGGGCTACAGATGACATTTATATGGATTGCTGTAAAGTCATTTATCTGGATTCCTGTAAAGCCTCAGACATGGCCCCCCACAACATCCTCTCTAAATTGGAAAGGAAAGGATTCAGTGGGTGGACTGTCAGATGGATAAGGAAGTGGTTGGATGGTCACATCCAAGAGTTGTAGTCAATGGCTCAGCATCCCAATGGACACCAGTGGCCAGTGGTGCCCTCAGGGTCTGTACTGGGACCAGTGTTATTTAACATCTGCATTAATGACACAGACAGAGGGTCGGGGACACCCTCAGAAGCTTTGCAGGTGACCCCGAGCTGAGGCTGCAGTGACACACCTGGAGGACGAGGCCACCCAGAGGGAGCTGGACAGGCTCCAGAATTCCCATGGGAATCTCCTGAGGTTCAACAAGGCCAAGGGCTGGTGCTGCACCTGGGTCAGGGCATCCCTGGGATCAGTCCAGGCTGGGGATGAGCAGATGGAGCAGCCCTGGGAGAAGGCCCTGTGGGTG